ATACTGCTCTCCCAACTGACGTTCAATGTCTTAAGTGTCTTTTTTTTCCCTTCTCTCCCCAACTCCCCAGTTAAATGCTCACAAAGCTTTTTAAAACACAACAGTGTTTTGCTTTTGTCTTCACAATAAGGATCCTAGTCACGGAGCTGTTTTCCTTCTCAGGTCTCTCTCATGCTTCCTACAGCCATCACAGATCTTATGGTATCTCTACCACACATCAGTAGATATATTTTGATTTAATATGTCAGCCAGGGGAATTAAGAATCACATGTCCGCAGTACCCACTCATCAATTTTCCAGGCAAACTGAATTAAAAACTAAGTAGATATATTTATATAAGTATATATAAAAAGCCAAATATAACAAACCATTCAGTCTGAGACTACAGGAAATTAAATTAATGAAAAACTAATGACAGGTTCACAGCCTAGTCATTAGGTTTCTTAAATTGCATTTTGCCTGTGCCAGAATACTGATGCAGCCTCAGAGACTCACAGGTAGCTCAGCAGGTGCCTGTCTATCATCATTATTATGGCACCTCTCAGTGCCAGTCAGGGCCAGGTCCATGCCCTGTTCAGCACAATACAACAAAATGAAGTGGCAGCGTGTTGCAGAGAGGATCTCAAAATGATTTCAAATTGCCAAAATTCGCCATTTGATGGAATTAGGACTCTATAGTGGATACAGTAATTTGAACAGTGTGTTTGAAGGGCTCTCACTGTAACAAAGACTTACTAAAAAGACATCCTCCCCCCTCCTTTTACCTACACCTTTGTGCAAATTATCAATATATATACCCAGTGTTTTAGCCAAAAAAACCCATAATGAATAGTTTACACCTGCTAAAGACAATGAACCTACTTTCCTTGTCCTAATTATTACATTCCCTTGTGTACTTTGTATTTTTACAGCAGTATGAATGATGTCAGATAGAAATATCATTAACAATTCTCACAATTTTGTCATGATTCCCATGATATTTGGTATTTTTTTAAAATACAGCACTTAAAAAAATTAAAACAAACAAGCTACCTCTAGTTATAAGATCATGAGAAAACAACTGAAAACACAAAGCCTAGGGTCTCAGAAATATAGGAAGCAAACAGCAGAAATCTTCCACAAAGATTCTCCTGTGTGGGTCTTTCATGCAGGCAATGACAAGGGAAAACATTCTTTTTAAAGCAAAATAATTGTAAACTGACAAAATTTGGCAGAAGAACTCAAAGGAGGCGTTGTACCAGAAATTTCTTATTTTCTGTAAACTAAATATAACATTGACTCCATCAACTTGAAATTCTCACTTTCTGTTAAATTTCAAAGAATTATTATAAGCTCGGAGTTGGGAAAGTTCCACAATTTACCGTCAAGTAAAGCAAACTGATTCTGAAAATAAATCCCTGACTACACTTTGTAAGGGATAACAGAATTAAGAAGCTGAGATGTGTTCATGAATCATGGCTTGAGTTTTTCAAAGTCAGTAATTAGCAATTAGCAAAACACAATGACCCAACAATTATTTTTAGTGCAGTGCATTCAAAAAGTAATTTATGTGTAGATATCATCACATGCATGTTTCATTTCAAACCACAATTACACAAAGTTTTAATTAATAAATATTAAGATACATTCTAACATATGGCTTATGATTTACCATTTTTAATTCAACCTATAAACAACAGAATAATAAAACTTAATGTATTTATTGGTGAAACTTATTTTCCCACACATTTTAATCACTTTCAATTATTCTCCTAGTAATCTATGACACAACAAGGTACAGAAAATGCATACCCATGTTGCAGTAACTGAGTAACAGTTTCTGTGTATTTGAGCATGATATTGCAGAATTATCCTATTTTTCTTAATATCCTACAGTCACAGATATGAGAAAAATGTAGATCAAAAAGCTAAAAAGATCAATAAAATTTTTACTTGATGTGGCATGTACTTGAAAATTGCAGCCAAGCCTTACTTGTTTGTTTAATAAAGGGTTTCCAAAACAGCCTCATTTTTATGGTGAGAAGAAATTTGGAATGAAGACAAAACTTTGGCCATCAAAGTTTTGTAAACAAAAACAATCCTTCTTTTATACTAATTTCATATATGATGGTCCTATTTCCTCTCATTTTGTGTTTCCTAACAAAGTGCATGCCAACCAAGGGACAAGGCAGAGCAGCACTGCCTTTCCTATGCTACCTCTCTCAGCAGCTTCAGGCAAAGAAGCACCTGGATGAGTACTGTCTGTACAAGGCTGAATTTTGTTCTCTGCCTTCTCCTGGGAGAGCAGTAGCTCCTCCTAAACAATGGTATGAACATCCATGAACAAGACCTTGTTTACTAAGAAGATATTAATTGAAAATACAAATATTTTTGGATATTTTTGCTTGTTTTCTTTTTCCCTGCAGGCAAAATAAAATTCAGAGGGCTCCAGCAGAAACCTTCACTCCAAATTAAAGCCATATGCTTCACACTGCTCTCCTGTAAGAGGCATGGATGCAGAAGGAGCAGCTGTGCAACAGGTCTCCATAACAACTGTAACCTACAATTTCATGAATCAGTTAACCCAAAAACTTGCAAAGGAAGTGTAGAGGTGGTACAGTTGCTATATGGTGTAACTGCTCTATCAACCTCATCATCACCCCCACATGAATCAGAGAAGAAAGTGAAGCGATCGAAAACGCATTTGTCATAAGACAGTAATTGCCCATCAGCTGCTCCGTTTCTTTTTGGAGCTCATTGCAATTACTAAGTGCTGTATGGATATAAAGTTTAAGAGAAAGGAGATGATAACAAAATAAAACGTTACAAAATAATACTGCGATTAAATAGTTCAGGGTTTATTTCAACGATATGTCCTTCAGTTTATGAATTATTTAGTCAAACTGCTTTCAGTAGAACTCAAATATCAAACTACTTCTGCCTAAACCAGGTGCTAAATACTCCTTGAGTTTTTAGAAAAACACTGAGTTGCATTAAAAATACATTTCAGGTCTAGTTTTGCATGACAGATACGTGATGTGTCAATGGATATGTATTATACTCTTCCTCTCAGGCATGCATCTCCTGCAGAGACAGCAGACTACAGAAGCTGACCCTTACTGAGACCATCTTGTCTTTCTGACAAAGGTCCTTTTTAACTTCTTACTTACTGGTTGCTTCCTGTGATTGATAAAAATTTTCACTCAGCTTGTGATAATTTCACAGGCCCTGAGCACCCTGACCCTGGAAGCCCCAAGGTCAGAAGTCAAGTCTTGTTCTGAAACATCAGTGTGCTTCATATTAAAGTAGAACAAAAGCGAAGAAATATCCACCAGTGTGACAAGAGAAAGAGGCAAAATGGGAATGACACCTTGGTCATCTGTTACCCAGGCCACCTCAAGCCATTGACTGAAATGTGATGGAAAAACTCTCCAAGCCTCCTTCAAGTCAGCATTCTGTTTAGGAAACACTGGGAAAGGTCTCCTGTTGATTCTTACTCCTGCCCTCTGCTATCTGTATGAATCTCTGGGCATCTGGTGACCCAAACAATGTGGCTTTACAAAACCCACAGAAATTCTGCCAGAGCTTTACTTTGGACTCACACGAGAAAAACCTGGGCTGAAACACAGAGCATCTGAAAATCACAACTCAGGAAAGCCAAGACAGAACAATTGCTCCGTAACATTCATGACACCTCAAGAGCCACAGGCACACGCAGTGCAACACATCTTCTGCCCAAAGATGTGGTTACAGAAGGAGTTATTCACCTTCAGGTCTCTTAAAAATTTAGTTTTGAGACTATTTATTGAGCAGGTAATAAAATACCTGTGAAAAATGATCAATTCTCAAATAATCTTCAGATCAGGAAAACACTGTTTCTCAAGTCTCAAAGCTGTACATGTCACATGTATTTTACACATACTCTTCAGAACTGCAGAGAAAATGAAAATGGCATTAATTTCAACAACAACAAGAAAATGGGTTTAGGAAAGTCTCAAGTTCTTGATATAATACTAGTGGCCATTGTCAGGATTGCTATTGCCACTTGGAGCAGTGTAAGACTAAAACCAACACACTCATGCATGCTTAACCAACATGCTCATGCATGCTTTTTCTTAATAAGGCATTCATCTTCAGACATTCACGCAGGAAACACCTTACTCAACTTCCAGTTAGATTAAATTAATGTGTTGTAGACAAAAAAATGTATATACATGTCTGCTGTGTCCTCTGTCTATAAAACTGGTTGTAATCCTCTGCAATTTACCTCTCCACAATAAACAGGACCCTTACTTTTTTGTAGTTTTCTTCAATGAAACACATCCTGATTATACTACTGTCTTAAAATCACATGAGGAGACTGTAGCTGCACTGACATAATGGTATACAAGTTTAACACGCAGCTTGGTATACCAGATGGGGTCGAGAGATCTGCCTTTAGAGAGAAGAGTGAAAGACTGACAAACTAGATGTTCAGCAGTCTCAGCACCAGATGTAGAGCAGCTTTACACTGAGCAAAGATTTTTCTACCTTATATCACTGAAGAGCCTAATAAATGGGAAAACCGAAGTTTTTCTAGCAAATTCTGCAGACCTTTGTAGAAAAACTGCAAAAACTGAATAAAACGATCACATTTCCCCGCACGTTCTGTCCCAATCTATATACGAAAAGCAGCATTTGTTACTGTGACTTTGCTTTTAAACTCTTCTTATATGTCCTTAGTTTCCTATGTCCCCAGGTCTTTCTGCCCCACAGCAGAAAGTGGTGCCTTTAAGTACAGAATCTGGACAAGAAGGATGCAGCGTGTTGTTACAGGCTTGTGCACAGTTGAGACCTTACTGTCTATCTCAGAACCAGAAAAGATGCAGTGACCTTCTGGTTGCAAAGAAATCCTGACCAACCTGTACATGACCATAGGTTCAGTTGTTTCTACCTGGCTACTTTCAAGAGGGTGATCACAAAGAACGTAGAAAATCTGTGACAGTCTTCGGGAAAGAAGGCAATGGAGAATTCACACTTACCAACTCTACAAAGGCAAGTCCACCATAACTGTGAGCAACAAAAAACACATTCTCTGCAGCTGACTGGGAAATAAAATGGTCCCAAACATAAATCGCATGTTCTTCAGGAGAGCCATTATCCTGCAGAAAGAAATTACATTTGTGACAATTATCTTTTTAAAAATGGCAGTTCTGCCTAAAAGCAATGTGTTCCTATATATTAGAATATTTTGTTAAAAAAAAGATCAAATGAATACACACTAGTATAAAAGGGAGAATAGATTATTTTGTCTAAATAAGAAAAATTCAAGATTGCAATTTAAACAGAGCAAAACTGTTGCTTTTTGGGCTTACTTTAATAAGTGTAACAAAAATTATGCATCTGCAAAATTTTGTGTAAATGCCATGATGACAAATCTGCTAAACAGAGGCATTCACAGGAATTATGAGCCACAGCTCAGATTTTCATTCTTTTGACAACTCTTTGTTAAATGTTTGTTCACTGAGGAGTTCTTTAAAGTATTTATGCCTTAGACGGGTAAATAAGAACAGGTAGGAACAATATAAACACATAATCATAGAATAATCTGGGTTGGTAAAGATGTATAATTTCAGTTTTTACTTTTTTTTCCTTTCATACTATGAGCCACTGGAAACCTGAATTAAGATTAAAATTATAGTATTTGCAACTACTCTTTTAAATCTTACTTTTTGTGACTGCAGACTATGAGACATGGTGCAATCAAAACACTTCTTAACTGCTGGCAGCCATTACACTGGAGTTTTTGGTAGCTAGGGGACCACATTTTCTTACAATTGAACAAGATTCTGTCAAAGCCAGCCAGTGTAAGAGTCACAGAAGGTGCTAGAGTGACACACACTGATTTTAGCACACTCTCGTCGAAAGTCATGATTGTCTACTTGTAACTTAGAGGCTTTTGGAAAGAATTATGTCACTCTAGATTTTCCTTATTTCTCAGTTGTTGAGGTCATAACCACAGATTTGGTCTTGTCTCAGGTGCTCTGCTAGGTATCCTGCTCCACCAGTATTTCAGGAACCCAGGATAACAGATCCAGACTCTTCAATGCAAGAAAGAGCTGATCAGTCAAGGTAATTTCCTAAAATTTGCATCTCTTTTCCCTTTGCTCTGTGCCAGCAACCACTTCATATCCTTAGCTAACTCAGTCACAGTTAACAAAAGTCTCATTTCCTTACAAAAAGAAGCACAAACCAGTAAAAGCCACTGGCAATTGGAAGCTGCTAATTAGGTGAATCAGTGTGAATTATTGAAATTTATCAAGAATGTTGAGGTGATCTAGATCTCAATTCCATTCTGCAACTCAGTTTTAGGGATTTAAGCTCTTATGTCTAAAGTGTCTAAAATCAGTATGAAGAGACGCAATTAAATAACGTGGTCGATTTTGGCTTTTATTTCTATTCTCATACCCTGTTTTCTAAGTATGAGTGAGATGGCAACAAATCTTTTATGGATCCTGACTCAAAGTTTTCAGAATAATGATGTGCTTTTCTGCTTCAGCAGCAGTGATCATAAGAAAAACCTGAACTTCTCTCACTCTTGGACAGATTCTGCTCTTCATTGACTATGACAGAATGCCGTTTTAAGTAATTATGTCTCACCTATTGTAAACCACCTCAGTGTGAGACAGGACTTGCTTCAAAACAGTTTGTTGCTGTTTTGAAATTTGATTGTATAGATAGGCACAAAAAGTAAACACTCCTTCTTTTCTGAGGAATGTGGGAATTTTTTTCAAAGAGATTACATAAAGAAAATATTATTGACAAACCAGTTACTAAGATAAAGCTGAAGGACAACTTGAACAGCAGTTTCCTGTGCAAAAGTGATGTACTCTATAATATGTATGGAAAAACCAATTAAAACACTGGAAGTTTCAGAATGACTAAGTTATTTAAAATATTTATCTTAGTTATATACACAGGATGTACTTATTTTTCTGTTATAATGTTGCCAGTGATGCTCTTTACAGCAATTTTTGTATAGTTACCCAATGCTGTTTTAACATTCTGAGGAAAAGAGGACATTTTTTTCTGCTTAATATAGCATTTTCAGGTTCCTTTGTATTTATTATTTTATACCCTGCTGGCAAAAGCACATAATTTTAGACTAAGACATCAGCAAAAAGCTACTGAACTTAGCCCAAAAAAGCTTTCACCAATCAAAGCATAACCAGTGATCCAGTTAACTAAATTAATAACTGCACAGCTTCACAGTCCAGTACAAAGACTCAATAGGATTCTATAAAAGCAAAAAGAAATGAGCTACAATGAGTTAAATATAGACTGTAACTACAGCTTCCTTTATTACCAGTTAAAGACAAAAAGCCACAAAATGTCATGATAAACTGGGTTGCTATACCCTCTGCTAAACCCTAAACAAGGTAAGAAAAGCACATACATGTAAGAAGGAGTTTGGAGGAGTCCTATATGTATTAGAAGAAAAGCTCTTTCTTCGGACCATCTGCTTATTTTTTCCCCTTGTAACAAGCCCATATTACAAATACTTCAGACCTGGTGCCAGGTCTGAACACAGAACATCCAACGACAGGAGCAGAACACAACTGATCTCCTTAGGATTTCAAATTGCACAGGGTCTGTGAGGTTTAACCTCTACTGCCTGGCTTGGGTTAAATGATGAGACTGGATGCTGCATTTTCAGCATGAAAGGTGGCAGTCTCAGGCAGCTGTTGCTTGATATAATTTCACTGCAGCTAAATTTAATGCACTTATATAGAATGTTGTTAAATTATTAGATAGAGATGGGGTCTCCTGGTCCAAGTTTACACAATTATCTATACGAATGTAAAGAAATGAATGGACATGAGCCTGGAGAAGTCATATTATGCACCTCAAAAGGCGTGTCAGGCTTGAATGCATTCTTGTTTGTGAAAGACTAAGATGTAAAGGTGCTAGAATGCTTGAAATCAGGTTCCCTGCTGCTGACAGCTGGTCACCTGTAAAGGCTAATTCTATGTCAAAGTAAGTGGTCTGCTTCTTTGGAGTTGTGGACGTCAGTTATGAGTCTCCATCCCTCTGAAAACCCTTCCTCTTGATCAATATATATAATTAGACATGAAAGGAAAAAAAACATTAAGAACCGTATGATGTGAAAAGGCCCTTGTGCAATGTTTATCCAATACAAAGTAGCCCAAATAATGGGCTACTGGGCCATCCATTGGGCAGAAAAGTGGAGGGAGTGAACTCAGATTTTGGTTTGCCATTTTTTTCCAGTATGGCTAGTGCTAGGAGTTGAAAGGTGTGTAACATTTTAACAGCTGGAGCCATTAGGTATTCACAGATAAGCAGTATGCAAACTGCGAATACAATATTACATTCTGTTGCATTCAAAAAACAGTTTAAATTTACCAGTGTAATATCACAGTCATTAATTGTTAAATACCAGGCTGGAGTGATGCAGGAACTGAAGCCTTATCAACTATTCCAGATTCTAACACCTAGACGTTGCAAGGTCTGCAGTTATGATGGACTACCTGAGTCGATAACACATGGAATTGTCTAAACAACATTTGCATATTTGTGTAATTATTTCCTAAGGTTAATTAGCTTCTGCAAAGCAGCTTGCCCTTTGAGACTGCTTACTGTGACAGGTTCACGTATTTTGTGTTTCAGTGCCAATTTCCAGCCCTCCCCACCCCTCCCCCAAAAGTAACCTGTTGCCAGAAAGTTACAGATGGGGCAAGATCTGAAGGACTTGAATCACCTTTACTGAGGCACAGCAGCTTAAACTTCTAATACATCAAAACTGAAAAAGTCACATAAAGAAAAAAATGACTAAGAAATTTAGTTTTCAGATCTGGTAACTCTAACTTTAGAGTGTTTTTAAAATCAAGGAGTAGGAATCACATTTTTCTGAAAAGTGAAATGCACACAAATAGAGAAATATGCCATACAACTGAACAGATTTTTAAGAATTTATTTCAAGGTGGTTTCTCTAATTACCTTATCACAGCAAAAAATTCTCCTTCTAGCTTGATAAGCTACTGTAGACAACTATGGTACATGAATTAAATATGGGAGAACAGAACTGCACACTGGTGGGGAGGTAGAAGGATGCAGAAGGCTCTGATCTCCTGTCCTGGAGATGTCAGATCTTTCCCACCAGTAATGCCTTGACAGTCACGTACATTTTGTCCCATTGCCTCAGGGAGCTTTGGAGCAGGCAAACTTTTGCAATTCATCCCAACCCTTCCAAAAGATCATTACATTTAAATTCACGTAAGTATAAAAATATCCTGTTACAACAGCACCCTTCACGAGTACTAAATGATGCTTATCACCTGTTGCATTTTTCTCACTTCTTTTGCAAATATTTGCCTGATGTGAGCCAAAACTTTTTCACTAGGGAGAAAAACAATGAAATGATATGATGGGTTGCTATCACCAGAGCAGATCCAGAATTTCTGGATATGGTCTAAGAGGCTTTTGTCATGGTTCAGAAACATCATTCCCTAATTCAGTGACCCTCACCAACCAAGACTCCTCCAAACTAGACACTGCTCCTCCCACCACTCTTCTGGTGGGAGACACAAAGGACAGAGGTTATGGTTTGAAATAAAAAGAATTTACTGGAAACAGCAATGAGATAAGAAAACAAACAGTAACAGTAACAATATTAACAAGAAAAGTGTACAAAAAAGAGGGTGATTTACATGCAAAAACATTCTCATTGAGTCCAAGCTGACCCAGTGTGACCCAAAACAAATGAATGAAACAGCAGACAGACCCTCCTCACCCGTGCTCTTCTTCCTGACCACAAGCCATGTCCCTTCCTTCTGGGAAGAAAGAATCCCTCATTCCTGCCCCAACAGTGACAAGAAGTTATACAGAATAATAACCTAGATATGCCCACATGGCTCCAGACTCCTTTCCCTCACAGATACTGAAAAAAAATTAACTCTGTCATAGATGAGAACCAGGATAGCTTTGGGGGCAAGAAAGCCAAAACAGAAGCAAATAAACCAGCCAGTATATGATATTCTCCTCACACCAAAGACAGTAGCTATGGCATTACAACCACAGAGGAGAATTAAAGTAAGGAGAGAATATAAACTGAAAACAGGAAAGGAAGTGGAAGAAAGCATTT